AACGTCTTACATGAAGAAACCTTACCTACGGTAAACACGTGGTTGCAGAGAAATGCGTTCTGAAAGAGGTTCCGTGGTTCGGAAGGATGGTGTTCTGTTGTTCTTAAAGGTTCTGATCAATACTGGTAAATAGGGAAGCTAGATAATGGGGCAGAGGTTGAAAATAATAAAAGATCCAGGAAGAAAAGTGAAACGGATTTTATTCTAAATGGCGCAAAAGAGAAATTTTTTTCAAAATGCGAGAAATTCGCGAATTTTGAAATTTTTTTATGGAATGCGCGAATTTCTCGCGGTAATCATTTTTTAATGCGAGAATATAAAAAAATATGCGAGATTCTCGCGTTCTCGCGCTGTAGTGAAAACACTGCCCAACTGAATGTTGAATCTTATTTTGAGCTATAAAGAGCTTGTTTTATTTTAAGTGATAGACCCCATACGATTTCTTAAATTAAAATAGTCATCTATTTTTTTTTACTTTCCTTCAAGAACATTACATTTAATTTATTTTAAAATACATCTTTATAAATTATTATAATCACCGTCAACATGTCTAATTACTTGGGCACCTTGCATTTCATTCAGAAAGGTAATGCATAGTTTACAATAAAAATAATTAAGATATTTTTTATTCACTTTAGAAAAAAAATAAACCCGTAAGTAAAATCTGAATATAGTTGTGAGTTATTTTCTTGTATTATTAGGATAAATTTCATTTCAATGTTGTAAATCGATGAATATATATTATGTCCCAATTCAGTCATTTTTTTAAATTCAGCTCTTTTATCACAATTATTATTGTTATTTTTTATTAATTAACATTAAAATTGTTTAAATTAAAATATATAAATTGCAATAAAAAAAAAGACTATAAATACCCAACACACAAAGATAAGTTGAATGTTAAAAAATAAAAAAAGGAAGCAATTAAAATAATAAAAAAATAATTACAATTAAAATTTTTATAATTGCCACCAGTAGGTATATCTAAATACTTGGGCATTTTTAAAAGCGTATCAGGTGACTGTGTGTGAGCCCAAGTCAAAATTCCGGAAAATTTCCTGAGTTGAAAAAAAAAAAAAGTTTAAATTGGAAAAAATTTAAACAAGGTCTTTTTCCTTTATCTCAATATTTCTTAGCTTACTTAAAATATATTCAAAATTTTACACATACCTATGATGACCTGGAGAAGTAATTTAAATTTACAAATATGTCTTTCTTTCTTGAGTTTATGATTATAACAACTATTTTCTTATAAAAAATGAATATTAATCATGAATATAAGCTTATAAAGTAACTCTCTGGCTCTCCCTTACAAACAATTAAAACTGTGTTTTTAAGTTCCATCTTTGTAAATTTGATTTCCGGAATTCTCTTTGATCAATGATTTTTTGAAACATCTGGATTTTCCACCTCCGGAAATTTTCAGATCACTGTTAGCGAAAAATCCCGAAATTCGGATTTTTTCCGGAGCACAATCAGCCCTGAATCATAAATTTTCTTTTAATTCACTTTACAAATAAAAATAACCTAGAAGTGAACTTTGAATATAAATATTGTAAGATAGAGAGTTATTTTCTCATATTCATAAATCAAATTTCCAAAATTATGTTGTAAGTGTATACAATGTTCCAATTTTGTACTTTTTCTAAATTTCACTTTGCTATCTAAATTATTTAATCCTTATTAAATAATATTAAGGAAGTAATTCGTCATTAATTAAATTAAAATCAATAAATTAATATAATATGAATGATTATAAATACCCGAATGTCCCTTCATAGTGTGCTTGTTTCATATTAAATTTTTAAAAAAATTTGTTAAATTCCAAAATAGGGTGCATTTAAAAATCTTATAGGGGAGGCACATCAGTCTATGCAAGTCACATCATGTAATTTAAGAATATTAAAATAAAAAACACCACGCACCCCCAAGTATTTCACTATAAATCTCAAAATACTATTTAATCTTTGAAATGGTCTTAAAAAATACTTGTTTGTATTTTCAAACACAAAATGAAATTTAAATGATAAAAAAATGTTATCAACTCCCTAACTATTATACTAGGCACTAAAAGATATTTAAAACCTAAAAAAATGGCTAAAAATGAAATAAAATTTTTACATTGAAAATATGAAATAACGAAAAGTGATTACTTAATTTGTTAGCGAAGAATTTTAATTTAAACAAAAATAAAAAGACAGTCAGACAAAAATAAACATACTTCGCGCGATTTATGAACTGAAACTTCGACTGTCAGAAATAGGGTGGAGTTGTCTGTAGATAATCAAATGAAAACAAAGATTTCAAGTGGTCATCTACAGATTTCCATAAATAAAATTTTCTCATTTATCTCGAGAAATGTGTTAAAGCGCAGTTAAAAACTCCATGAATCATCTCCGAAGAACGAAGATAAATTTAATTTTGTAGCGATAAGCTTTTATCATTTCTCTTGCAAAAAGTATTTTGCCTACTTTCGCATGGAAGGTCGACTAGTAACAACTCTTTTTTTTTTTAAATTAAATTAATTCTGTCAGCGCAATTAAACTTACATTAAAAATGTCGTCTTGTGCTACTATTCAATGTAAAATAGGCCCGTCTATTTTAAATTCTGATTTATCAAATATATATGCAGAATCTCAACGATTATTGGATTCTGGAGCTGATTATTTACATTTAGATGTGATGGATGGACATTTTGTCCCTAACTTAACTTTTGGTCATCCCGTAGTCAAATGTTTGAAAAAAAAACTTCCTTCTACCTTTTGTGATATGCATATGATGGTAGCTGACCCAGCAAAAGTTGGTATTTTTTTTCCATTTAATTTTTATTTATGAGGTTTGTTTGTCTTCCTCCGTCTGGAGGTCTTTCTGATCTGTAAAGTAACTGGATCTCTCTATTTTTGCAGCAAATTTAGTTCTTCATTCTGTATTGTTTTCACCCTTATGCAATTGATATAACCTCCTTCGACTCATTCATCCAGTATGTTTTTGATTGTAAAACAATCAGAAGTGTTTTCTTGAGACAAGTTTTGTTTTAGAGTTAGATATTTGTATCTGCAATCATCTGAAATATTTGTTAAACTATTTAAATATTGAAAATTGTTAACAAAATTATTTTTAAAAGTGTTTCTTATAAATTGAATAATTATTGAAAGACATTTTTTGAATCAATTTATCACTGAAAACCATAGTTAGAATGAATTCATTTCACTTGAATAGGAACCTCTATGTGTTTGAGTTTGAGAAGAAAAATTTTGTTTTATAATGTTATTCTGAATTTTGTCTTTGGATCATCCTCAGGGATGTTTCCCAGATCGTCGCCAATAGCCCATTGTGCAGCTCTAGTGCGACGTAAATGAACTACAACAACCATTTTCAGAAAATTATTAAAGCAAGAGAAAAAGTAATGTGAGTAAAGTACAAATGAAAGTAAAGAAATAAACTTCCAAGTCTCTAAACAAGAACCTTCCTTGGTGTCTAGGTGTTCAATTGAAGTGTTAATCAGATTTGAAACAACTTTTACCATTGTTTATATTAATCTGAAAAATAGTATTGATTTTTTTTAATGATCTTTATATTGATGATTAATGATTTTATTTATTTTGATCTATACTTTAATTCTAAAAATAGTTTCAAAATATTTCACAGTTATGAAAATAATTGGTGTTTGTTTAAATAGCAGAAATAATGTAACTGATTAACTAAAATTTATTAACTTTCTTTCTGATCTGTAACATTTCATTTGATAATATTTATTTTTGCAATACAAACATTTATTTACAATTATTGAAATTTATTTTTAATATTTGAATGTGGCAAAAACTATAAATATGGAAGTATCAAAAAAATTTAAAAATAATACAAATAACTTAAAAATGAATTAAATACTAGCTGTGAAAATTTTAATCAAGATAAACTTTGAATTCTAATCAAAAAAAAAAGTCAAACATGTCAATGTTTGAGTCCGACATTAGTGTTCAGGCTGGCTCAGACATTTCTATAAGCAAACCAAGTTTCTTATCGCTGAGAATCAATTCCAGTATTAGGATAAGAAAATGACCAAACACGAATGACAAGAAATAGTATCCAGGTATACTCAAAATATGTTCAAAATTGAAATGAAAATATTAAAATTGCCTAATATCTAATTGTGACTAATAAAACTACCAATATAAGTGTTGACACAATAAGTAGTGTGACCTGGGGTAATTCCTGATCAAAAAATGCAAACATCTATTTTGTAAGAAAACTATATAGATAGAATTATAATATTTACTGCATGTTTGAGGCTATATGAGATGAGTCCTAGGCTAGCTTGTTTTGTTTGAAAATCTAATTAGAATTTAAAATATTTTAAATTTTTAGTGATCAGGAATTACCCTTTCTCTTGATCCTTTCTGGGGTAATTCCTGATCACTTCTGGGGTAATTACTGATCACCAGTTTTAATCATAAAGGGGCTGTTTAAAAATAATTATACAGTGGTAATTAACAAATAAGACATCAAGATCAAACAAATGAACCAAAAATATATGTTTAAGCAGCTAATAAAACAATTTATTTAAAAAGCAAATATAAAGGTTAACACTTTAAATTTTCCAAAAATCTTTGTATTGTGCCATACATTTTAGGCAAGCAGCCAACTCATTCTCATGTTCTGCTGGAATATAAGAAAGAGTTTCCACATGGGTTACTTCTGCTGGATTTTGTAACTTCATTAAGGGAGAGTGTAAAGTTAAGTAAGGTATGTCAACAGCTCTGGCAGCAGCTCTCACACTGAAATTTTCATTTTCAATCATTAAAAGAAATTTATTAATTAAGAAATTTTAATTACTAGAACTAATTTTGCTTTCTAGAACCTTAGTATCCTTTTTAGGCTTATAATTTCTCACCATATTTATATTAGGCTAATTTATAAACTTAAAAATTATTCTAACAATGTACACACATAAAATTAAGATAGAAGCAAGGTAAGACAAATTGGAACACATTTGTCTAGCATACGGTTAAAAACAAATTTTGTGATTAAATTGAGTTAAAATATATTTTATAGTCATTCCACTTGATAAATATGAACTGTTACTTAAGAAAAGACAATTAGCTATTTATTACCTTATTTTAATACTATTTATGGAAAGAAATGACAATGATCAGGAATTACCCCAGTGATCAGTAATTACCCCATCTGTAGGGGCAACATTTGATATAGTTTCCTATAATCAATTATAATGTTTACAGCAGATGTGAAACAATTAAGCAAGAGCTTACACTATTTTCATATCAAAGAAAAAGAAAGGAACTCAAAATATTTATTATTAAGAGAAGGAGGGAGATCTTTGCAGAAATGTGCACTTTTTGAAACCCATCTTTGAAATGGAAAATACAGAAAGCAGTTTAAAAGATACTTATTTTGTTAGATTAAACAAAAAACCATTATTAAGTGAATGTAGTTATACCTTAATAAAGTGTACAAGCATTCTCGTCCATGTCTCAAATTTAGAAAAAAATTATTTTTTTAAAATAAAACTTAGGTGATCATTATTTACCCCAGAAACAGAGTGATCGTGAATTACCCCGGGTCACCCTACTTTAAACTTAATACGGCATATGGTAAATTAGTCTTTAAAAGCTTGCATTAGATTCCAATTGGTGATAGATTGTGTTAAGCAAGTTGCAATGAAAAATCAGAGAAAACTGATAGCTTTTTCTGATCGTCAAAGCAACTTGTCTTTATGCAGTTTTCCTGAAATCCAGTTTAAAGATTGCAATACCAATAACAAAAATAAAAGTATAAATAAAGAATGAAAAGAATTTTTTTTCAACCCTTTGACGGTTAGGAAAATGGGCAATTTTCGTTTACTTAATTCGCACAGTATTATGAGTAAACAGTAGTCGAAAGTGGCAGCTGTTTTCCCCTGCCATTCTTCCGAAAATGTCACCCTTCTCTGGCGGTGCCGTAGATAGCTCACCTCACGCGTTTTAAAAATTTCTTAAAGTATTTATAGTACATAAATAACAGATTTTACGCTCTTTAAAATAATTAATAAATTATACTTATTAAATAGTAAATTATAAATGATTATAATCAATTATATAAATAATAATAGTTAATTATAAATACAGTGCACTCCCGATAATCCGGATTAATAACCGGGACGGATCGCACGGACAATCGAAAAACACAGATAATCCAAAAACTCCTTTTTATTTAAGAAAAAATGAACATCAGTACAAAAAATATAAAAATTACTTACATTTGCATGCTGTATAGCAGCGGTGCGCAAACTTTTTTCGACTGCGACCCCTTCTGTTGAGAGAAAATTTTTGGCGACCCCCTAGAGATAAATGTTCACAAATACGATGTACATTTCGCGCATTTCTTTCGTTTCATCGGAAAAAAACATCATCATATTTGACTGGTATTAATTTTATTTATAATTTTAAGAAAATACTTTTTGTATAACACAAAAATCAGTAAATTGCCCTTTAATGAGATGTATGTGGCTGCAAGTTTCTAATTATCTCATCGATGTTTGGATGTATGTTGCTAATTGCAATTCGCATATCATGTTCAGGGTTTAAACGCGAGCGGTATTTAGTTTTTATTGAAACTAGTTTGCTAAATCCAGTTTCACATAAATACGTTGATGCAAATTGTATTAACATTCTGATGACATTCTTGCATAAAACGGGATATTTATGGAATAGCCAAAATTTATGGCAAGGCTGAGTCTTCGGTAGTCTCGTCCAGTTGTAAAGCAAATAGAGATGAATTTTGTATGCGTTTTATGACTTCTGACTCGATATTTCGTGACATTTCGGAAATCCAATTGCAATTAAACAGTGAGTGACAGGGCTTCACTCTTTATATGTACACTGTATGGTATGCAGGGATAATGCATTTCATAAAAATTTGGCGACCCCCAAAAAACTTCTGGCGACCCCCACAGGGGTCGAGACCCCTAGTTTGCGCACCACTGCTGTATAGCATCAAATTAGGAATTTAGCATTTACTGCTTAAAAAAATGTGTAATGCGTCTTTGCTTCTGCTGTTTGTTCATCTCTTGCCGTATATTGACACATATTTTACGTACCATAGTAACGTCACCGTAATCAAATCCTCGTTCTCCCATATAATCAATCTAATAAAGTTTCCACAGATTGTAGAGCAGCAGAATCAGGAATTGTATTTCCCTCATTTATTACATCTTCTGCATCAGTACCATCATCACTATTTGATTTAACAACACAGTTAATAACAATTTCCTCATCTGTTAAATACTGGAAGTCAAGCTCACATACATCACTTTGAAACGAATCTTCTAAATTTTCCTCATCAAGAATACTGCTGTCATATTCTTCAATATAAGAAGATCAAGCAGTATGATCTTTCTCCACGATCGTGATAACGTAGACGATTTTACCTTTGACCATGCTGCTAATATACTGCATCCAATAATGAATATTGCTTTCAAAAAGTGTTATAACTTCATAACTTACTATTGCAGCGATTATTATCAATTAAAAACATTAGATTCATATTCTGTTAATAAATGACGAGACTTATTTGACAAGATTTCTATTCATATCAACATATATTTTACATGCATGATAATCTTGAAAATGTTTCTCTTTAAAAAAAAATTTGTGACTCCGAAAGAAGCACGGACCGGATAATCCGCACACGGATAATCGAGAGTGTACTGTATAAGACAAATATTAAATTGAAAGGACTAAAATACAACTAATGTAAAACTTCATGAAGCATTTAAATACAATAATTACCTAAATACTGTGAACAAAGTCTTCATCAGACTCAAAACTTGATAAACTTTCTGTATCATTAATCATCATCATAATTACAATTATCAAACTTTCGCTTTTGAACCATTTTACACCCTAAAAAATTCGCCAAAATACGCATAAAAAGAACAAGGTAAAAATGAAATTCCCCCTTCATTATGAAAAGAATTTTATGGAAGCCGTATTGCCATCTGTAGACATTAAAACTAACTACGTTTCGCGATTAGGATTCGTTTTTAACATAATCAATGCAGAATAATAATGGCGAACGAGTTCAGCTGGCATTGGGGGAAAATTTTCGCTACGCTAGTAGTGCTCGTTTATAACATTTTAGTCGAAATCGTTTTGGGGAACTCGTTTGCGAGCTTTATGAAGCAAGATTCGATTGCGAGCCGAACCCGTTCATAGCCGTCAAAGGCTTAAGAAAAGGAAATTTTAGACATAAAAAAAATAATAAACTCAAGAATTTAAAAAGTGAATTAAAGAAAATGAAGCAAAAAATGGACTTAAAAGTAAGGATTTAGATAGCACAATTAAAAGTAATCTTCAATTTTCTATTATTCTTGAGGCTGATTATAGTAATGGTGCTCTACTACTTAGGGCATATATGCTAATCCAAGATAATGAAAGAAGAAAAAAAATTCCCAACTTCAGGAAATTTTTACAAAAATATATTTATATATGTTCAAATACTTTTTTATTGACATGACAAATATCGCCATGACAGAATCGTTGTGGAATATTATCGAGCTCTTGCAGAAAGATTTTTCCTTAGAGAAGGGGAAAAAATTGGGTTTCTTTTCTGCAGAAATTTTTGAAAGGTTTTACCAGAATTATTTTCAAAATATGCCTTTCTCGCGCGTCGGATGGAGAAAAAATGCTTGTGATTTTTCTATTCTCATTTGAGAATAATAAAAACTGAAGAATAATAAAGTAAAAAATGTGGTTTTCTTTTCTGCAGAAATTTCCATTCTATTTATTTTAAGGCAGTTATTACTATTGCTTTTCACATAACTTTTAAAATTTGATATTTTTAATACATTATTTATTACAACTGAATTTCGAAATGAAAATTTGCATTTAGTAACCCCTTTTTGAAGAGTCAGACTTGTGTGATTTGCTCAATCTTTTTCTTCAGTAATTAATGTTACAGATTTCACAATTTTTTTAATTATTTTTTTTATATGATAATAATTTACAAAACACTACATAAAATAATTGCTACGTTTTCTCCTACAGAATGCGAGAATATCACCCATAATATTAGAATGAAAAAATATTGCATATTCAACTAAAAAAATTCTTTCATACGTTACAAAGTTTTTTTTTTTTTTTTTAAGTTGACACTTTTGTTACTTTAAATTAGAAACATGTATATTTGTTATTTTCAAAAGTGTCTTGCAGAAAGGTGTTAGTATTTGAGAGGCATGTCGCAGAAAGCCTGAAAAAATTCTGCCACAGGTACAAATATAAAAAAATAAATAAAGTGAATGACAACCAATGTGTCACTTTTTTAAAAAAAAGTAAGCATTACTATTGTTTTAACTTCAGATTGAAATTTTTCCTATAACGAAAAAATGTCAACTTGTATTTTCATATCTCATGTTTTTGAATATTTACACTTTTAAAGTGAGTGTGGAAATTTACAATTTCATATGAAAGTAGTATTGAAGAAGAGCATTTATTGGTGACAGATCCTCAAGAAAAATAAACTAACTTAGAACTGAACTTACAAAGAGTCAGAGAAAATTTTGAAAAGTAAATAAAAATTCATTTGATTGTAAAGTAGGTCTACAAACAATTATCTGCATAAAATGTGTAACAATGTGTTTAATATATCGCAAAATTACGTTTTTTTATATTTCATATTGCATTTATTTTACTCTTTTCATTTTAATTGTTCATCTAACATAGGGAAAGTTTTGCAAATAGATTATTTCTATGCTTTTTTAGATGGAAATTAAAATTTTTCAAGGAGGGGGGGGATGTAACATAAAAACCTTCAAGTAATCTTTTTATATTATTTCTTTATCTAAGTCTTCTTTCTTATTTAATATTCAAAACTAAACGCTTTTTCACTATTAATTATTCACTTCGTCTTTCTTTATACTAAACTTAGATCTCAAGTAGGAATTAATATTTTGTAACTTTCCCTTTAATCAACTGTGAGAAACATTCTTTTCCCTCGATCCATTTAATAGACTAATTGTTATTACTCAGATTTCTCTTATTCTTTAAAACGAAACATTTTGCAGATTTTTTTTTTTGCAAGAATTCCCCTAATTTTCATATCAGAGCACTTAAATTTGTGTATCACTTGGATTCTCTCTTAACTAAATATATTGCCCTCTTCCCCTACCTAAGGCAGGTTTTCATCCTTCCTCTTGGCAACGATATTATATATATAGTGAAACCTTCTGTTATGGACACGCCTGCAAAACAGACGCCTCTATATTTGCATGCTTTTCACCAGTTTTAAAGGATGTAAATTTTTTGCCTTATCCAGGGTGCGTAGCATTTGTAAAAATTACTTAAAGTTGCTTTTTTGGGGATTTCGTTTTTAAAAGCTTTTAAAGGTGCTTTTTTCAGCTGACGTTTTTAAAAAGTGCTATTTATCCGAATAATTTTTTCCCCCTTCAGTGATATCTGGTGGATCCCATGCATTTAACGAAAAATGGGGAGTTTGCTACGTAATCATTCACGCGGACTTCATGTCGTACCCACGTTATGACTTGCGCATGCGCGCACACTTGAAACCGAAACCCGAGTGCTCCAATTCGGATAGAGAATATCAGATCCTTATGAAATGTTTTTCTTTTTAATTTATTTTAATTTTGTTCTTGTTTATTTTATTTTACTTCTAACACTTTTTTTGACGTAGGGGGTAAGGGTACTTTTGTTCTGAGTTCAGGGTCAAGTTGAATTCACTCGGTGATGTGGGAAAGTACTGATTGTTTCGATTTACTCTCGTATCTTTTTGGGTTTTTTCAACGCTGAAACTGTTTATAAAAAGTTTTTGTTTTTCAATAATATCATTGATTGAATATGGATTTTTTGAGCGCTTGAGAATTTTTGTAAAGTGCTTGAAAAGTTTTTAAAAATCATTGATTGAATATGGATTTTTTGAGCGCTTGAGAATTTTTGTAAAGTGCTTGAAAAGTTTTTAAAAAGTGCTTATTTTTGATTCAAAGATTTGGCTACGCACCCTGTTATCCATAACTAAAAATATTGTTAAGCTATTTCACTACTGAAGAATCAATCTTTCTCTTGTCCCCTTGCCTCTTTGTAAAGAAAAGAGAGAAAATGATACTGCTCTTCTGATTCGGACAGCGGCATCTTTTCATCTGGACTACACAGGTTATGAGACCCCTCAAGTTGAAATGACATCTTAAGTGCTCTCAATGTTTCTTCCCCATTGAAAATTTCTTTTAAAACATTTATTCAGACACTTGATAGCTGATTAATTGTGAATAATCAACTGCGTAGGACCTCGTGATTTACAGGTATGCATTGCTATTTTTTTCTGTGAATCGTGGGAGGTTTACTTTCAAGAAGGTATTAACCCTGTTCCCTATCAAATGATAGGTAAGTGTAAGGGGATGTAAACCTATTAATTGAAACCGACTGTGGACTGAAAGCTCCTATTCGGTATCATATGTCTAACTTGAGTATCTATGCTAATAGGAAAATTATATTCATTTATCTGTTGCTACATATGGAATTATGTATTTATATCAAACTTCTTTATATATTCTTTTTTATCTTTCTTAAAGTTTGAATAAATATCTTTGTAGATTATTTTATTATTTCTACATCTTTGAAAATATTCTAAAAACAATTTACAGTGTTAAACTTCGTTATTAGGGTATCCTTCCCTTAAACTGACAACTCTTATAAATGGACAGATTTTTCAGTCCCAAGAATGTCTGCTTAACGAATGTTTTACTGTGTTAGTTTTTTCTAGCAAATTGAAAACATTTTTAGTGTGCAATTAAGTGTATAATACTAACTGTTGTTAATTATTTAGCTTTAACTAACTCTTATTTTTTTTAAATTTCAAGTGGGTGGAACCAATGGCTGATGCAGGAGCTGAACAATACACTTTTCACATTGAGGCAACTGAAAAGCCTTTGGGTGTGATCAGAAAAATCAAAGAAGCTGGAATGAAGGTGATATTCATTTTGACAAAGCATCATTAATTAGTTCAATTTTCATTCAGAATGTCAAATCTATATTACAATAATTTCTTTATAACAGTAGCATTTCATAAAATATTAAGTGCTTTATTTAGAGATAACAAGCTTCTTACTTAATGAAATAAACTGCCTCTGAACAAGTAGATTTCTTAAAACCAATGTTGAAGAAATGAAAAGAAAAAAAATCCTTTCTTCAGAAAGAAATATCAACTATTCAAGCAATTTGCATAACAGTTAATAATTGCAAGCTAGTATTAATTACATTATTAATTTTCAAGTTATTTAGTATAGCATTTTTAAATAAGTGAAAAAATTCTAAATGAAAAATTTGAAAAAAGTAATTAAATGTAAAAATTTTTTAAGAGGTTAATGTAACTGTAGTTCTTCAGTGTTTAAGGTATGTGATTTTATCATGAATGTGATAAAATGTAATTCTTTAAATATATAAAACTTTTAAATTATCATAATCACATTTTATTAATACTATGATACAATTAAATTATCAAACCACACGTTTAACCTGTACGTACTACAAGTTACAATTTATTGTTATAAGTAAAGTTACTTGTTCCTTCCATACAAAACATTTCTGAATTGTTTTTACAGTTTTGAAACCAAACTTAAAATTTTTCCGCAGAAATATAAATAAAAAGAAGAATGAAAAATTGTATATAATAACTAATGTTAAAACTAAATTTTATGCCCACAAGAAAATTAGCTCCAAGCAAGTTAAGTCCCTAAGGCAAGTTACAAAATCTCTAGATAAATTTAAACTGGAAATGGACAGTAAGATAAATTTCAGACGATCCAGTTTTTATAATAAATGGAAAGAAGTGTTAATTTCAAAATGTTCTAATTAATTTTTTATTATTTGTTTTATAGATTTTTTTTACCTACTTTTAAAAGTTTTAGTTACTTATGCTTTTTTTTGGGGGACATTCTAATCATTATACTCAAATGTTAACTTCATTTGCAGAATTACTATTAACACTAGAAAGTTTATTAACAATGAATGTCTCATTTGTACAAAATAACAGCTAATTATAAATTGAAAAATCTGGTTAAAAAACATTTTATAGTCGATGGTCATCACGATTAAAGTGATTGATAGTGATTCTTTAATTATAAAGTTATGTAGTTTAATCAAAACATTTAAGAGAAAAAAAAAATTTTTTTTTAAAGTTAAGTTTCAATGAAGATTTTTTTTTTCTTTTCTAGGCTGGAATCGGTGTCAAACCTGGAACTCCTGTTGAAGTTGTTGTTCCTTACATCGAAGAGGTTGATCTTGTTCTCATTATGACTGTTGAGCCAGGATTTGGTGGCCAAAAATTCATGGTAGATATGATGGAAAAAGTAAGAAAGCTTTAGAAAAGCATTTTACCAACTTATGTAATCGATTTAAGTTTCAAATAAAACTATTCATTTTGTGTTTAATGGCAAATAATATGTTCAGTAATAAATGTTAAATATAAGGTTGACTAACTTCACATAGAATTATTAAAATAAAAAAGTAAAATGTTCCTCCATCTAATTATATAAAATTAATCTAATAAAATCTCTAATTAATAAAGCTCAAATAATTTTTGGTAGTAATTTAAACTACATTCATGCTAGTTTAATCAATTACTGTTTCCAAACTTTGTAATAGTATGTTGGAAGCTAAATAAAATTTTCTGGATTTAAAATATAAACTCAGTGGTTTGTAAAATAATAGACCATTTATAAATTTTTGTCAATCTGAATTGTACTATTTTAGGCAAATATTTGTATTAGGATAGTATCTGCTCAAATGTATATAGTTAACTAAAACCGAAAAGTTTTTTTTTTTTTTTTTTTTCAGGTCAGATTTTTAAGATCTGCTTATAAGAATCTGGATATCGAAGTAGATGGTGGTGTTGGCCCCAATACTATAGACTTATGTGCTGAAGTAAGCTATATTTTTATTTATAAATATTATGATTGTTGCTTTTCATTACATTGTTTAAATTTTTCGTCAGTTTTGAAGATATACATGAGCTGGAGTAATTTTTTTTTTGCATTGCTTCCTGGCATTTATGTGATTTTATTTTATACGTAGTGTTTTTTTTTTCCCCCTTCAAATTAGTTTACTGATTTTTATTACAATGTGTTAGTAGTAGAAGTTCAATATTAAATTGAATGAAAATATGGTTTATTTTTATTTTATGTTCCAACATTGTGTAATTTTGTAACAACTCTTATAGTGAGAAAAAAAATGGCTTCAAAATGTGGATTTTGCAAAAATTAATGCTAATTTTTCAATCACTTGAATAAGGAGAGGGAATCCTGAAAGAAATGTCCACGGAAATGTTTTCCCAAGCGTCCTCTATGTCAATAGAGGACGAGATCTTATTTGTACTCCTCCCCAGCGAATCAAGTAAATTTACAGATTTAGCTTCGAGAGTTTTGCACTCTTAGAAATGTGTATTATCCAATTGAAAAAATACCCTGAAGTAATCTGTCGTGTTTTAAGTAATAAACTTTCTCCTAACATAACATATTTGTCCAAATTTATTTTACTTTTGATAAAGACTATTGGAATGGTTACATTTGCTGCAAAAGTGCCCTAAACCAGGGTTGGCAAGGTTTAGGACAGAATAGATTAATCCACGATTTAAACCGTCCTGTCCAAAACCCTTTTACTCAAATTATGTCACAATTTTATCTGAATAATATTTAAGAGGTAAAATAAACATAGAACTAATAACGTATTGATAATTAAATCTACTACGGAATATTTGTTTTTAAAAGTATAATGTTTTATTAATATTGTTTGACTCTTCAATTTAAACATTAAACAAAGGAAGATTAATCAGTAATCAAGTTCAATTGGTCCTCTCATTTAATAGCACATAAATGAAGCTTGACCTTGCCATACAGGTTAAGCTATTAGGGACTAAGTGCTTGGTTAGTGATAAACAGGTTTGTTTATCTATAGTACTATTCAAGAATACTTTTATTTCATTCATGTTCAATTCTTTTAGCATAGTGATGATGTGTCAGTAACTGAAACTGATGCCATGCCCTTCAAAACTGTTAATACATTTTTCAGTTATTTTGTATTTCCAATTTAAACTAATATATTTATATTTAAAAACAATTTTTTTTAAAAATAGATATCTTTTTTATCATCCTGTGATGCAGAAATTATAACATTTTTTTAAAAAAATATTGTGAAAAATAAAAGGTTAATTTTTG